GCAACAGCCATTCATACAGTTAATGACCTGAGTAATTCAAGTCCGGTGCAAAAATGCATGATCGCAAGGGCCAAGCCCGGTGCGTTCCAGCCTGGGTTGCAATTTACATATATGCAAAAACGCATAAAAATGCATAAAAAGAGTGTCTGTCAAAAGGCGGAATGCTTAACTTATATATACGGGTGACCGATGGTTAAGAAATTACGTCACCCTAAAGGGGGATGAACTTTCCAAAGGTTGGTCCCAGAGTGCACTCCGTGAAATAAGAACGGAAAAAAAAAAAACAATCATCACTGTGAAATACCACATACTAATGTGACATGTAAAGTTTCCAAAGCCCACAAATCAGCGGTGGAATTTATCAGTCAGTTTCGAATTGAATGATCTCGCCCGGTCTTGAATATACATGTTTGATCAAGCATATTGATCCAGAGTTTTTGAAAGAATCAAGCGTTAATCCGCGACTGGAAAATGGAAGACATCATCAAAACTAAGTGCGATCAGTCGCAATTTTCTCTCCACTGCATATAGCAAGCTGTGTGTTGTAGTACACGATGGACTAGCGCATCGAATAGAAATCGTCATCAAAGGCAAGACGTTAACACTGAAAATCGACGATAACGAGCTACAAGCGGTTGCAAACAGTGGTCCCAAAGAAACATTTGATTTAGCGACAAAAAATTACCTATACATCGGAGGTCTGCCAGCAGCAGTGGCTAGCCGAGCAAAAGCTGCCTTCCACCTCAAGCAGACACTTTCATTCAAAGGTCACAACTGTTACTATTCGCTTGCTTGTACAACCACTACTTTCATTAGTAACTTCTCCAGAAGCGTCTCCTGAATAGGTGTTTGCAAATTTCATTAAAAGGCCCACTCCAAAAGACGAAATCTGTCACACAAATCTTGCTTGATTTGATTATTTCGCTGCAACTGTAATCAACAGATCCAAGTATTTGCAGGATGTTTGTCAGATTTTCACATCAATGACATGGTAATCGATTTCGACAAGGCTGAGCGGAAAGAAAAAATTTTAGACGGATGCATCAACAGTGTGGATCTGTGCCGAGGTGTTCAGTGCAATGGTGGTTTGTGCGTTGCCAATTCAGCATCGTCCAGTGGTTACACATGCCGCTGCCCGTCTGGTTATAAAGGCATTCACTGTCAGCAACGTAATTTTTCTTAAACTTCTGGACACCTGGGTAGCATGTTCATGCCGACTGGCCACAGAAACACCCGTGAACAACCCCATCAGCTGTGTCTCTTTATTGTTGAGGGGAACACCGATGCGTACTTGAAGCCATCGTAGCGCACCAGCTCAGGATTCGATCCTGTTAGTGAACAGATATGTACTTGGTTGCTCACTGCTGCTGATGACGTCCACTATATAATTTCACTTATTCATGAACAACAGAATCAAGCTGCGGAAGTCAAAAACGTTTACAGGAAAACAAAAACACAGGAAAATGAAAAATTCCGTGTAATGCACATACGTAACTCATTCGTATTTGCATATTTGGAGACACATACATACGCACATACATGCACAAATACGTGAAGTATTATAATAACAAAGTATAAATTCGAATCTTTGCCCAAAATACAAGTAGTTTGGAATAAAGAATACGGCCGCTAGTTCCTAGAAAATCAGAAAAGCTTGAAGCTAGCCATAACAGTTCTGACTGAGCAAAATATAAAATCAGAAGAGCCTTTCCTCATTTTCTTTGTTTTCTTTCCTTCTTCATATTTTCTGTTCAATCTTTAATAAATTGGATAAAGGAAAACAACTTTTATAACATGAGCGCCATATTTTACAAGCACTAGCACTGAGCAAACGCCACAAGAACACAGGCTTTATTTGCACCGTAGGGCTTCAGTGCAGAACGAAAAACCAGTGTATTATCCGGCACAGTCACCTGGCCCCCGCATGCATCCATCAGATCCCCGACTATCTGTCTTTTTCATTTTGCTGTCTCAAGCAACCTTTAGTCAGTTCGCGCACCGCTGTAAGCTGCCTACCGGTGCGTCGTACTGATACTGTAACAGTGTAGAAAGCATACGTCTTCCCCTTCAAGGCGTAACATTTTACAAAACGGTTCAAGAGAGCCCACTGCTATCCCACAACACAGAGATCCTTTCCGGAGAAATTCACCGAAAAGTTCTTTCAGAAAAACATGCTTCGAAGGAAGTTCACAAGCGATCATACTGCGCTACTAAGATTCCAAATTTGTAGGTGAAATCTATTGTGCAAAAGAGAAATTTCGCCATTTCCACGAAGAAGACGGATGTCGGTCAGTGGAACAAATCAAAAATGCCAGATGCTATGGATGGTGTGGCAGTTCCGGGAAGCAGTGCTGCACAGTTGTTAAAAGTAAAAAGCGCCGGGTAAAGATGCATTGCAGGGACGGTAGCACAACCTCACGGATTGTTCATATCGTGCGCAAATGTCAGTGTTCCGCTGAATTTACTTGCCCTGCTTCATGACATTTTTCCGCAAATTTTGCTTCTTGCAACCTTAGCCGCAAACAAGTCCAGTTATTGATATCCTGAACAACAATCAGCCAGTGAATACTTCCCAAGTCACTATGCGTATGAGCAATGGGGTAGACAGTGCGGTCAGTTGCCTCCCATTTGCAAGCAAAAATTTAGTTGCACTTTAACAATTTTCAAAATTTTTTTTCTGATGTGCAGCCGCTAACAACCATGGGCATTTTAAAAGTAACAATGCTGTCGGGTAGACGATGAAGAGTTTGGCCCCACCACGGGACCACTGCTCTTTCTATGATTCTTTCATTCATTGCGCCTTTTTACGATGCAGCACTGTAGCGCTGTAATATCAGCAAAAGTGCCTAGTGTGGCAGGCCAATGTGTGTTTGTGTGTGTGTGTACTCGGCAGCCACGCAAGCTTAGATGCTAAAACTTTGCAGTTGCGTTTCCTGGTCAAATGCGACCCCATTAGCATAACAGTGAAATCCCTGGACTGTGGCACAGGGCTGCATTCGTGTATAGACACGCAAAATTTTTGGCCGGAAAACTGCTATTCGGAGAAACAGAAGAGCTAGAAAGCTGAAATTTTAATGGAAGGTTCTCTGTCCACAGTCCAGGGATTTCATCTCAGCTCCTAATTGCGCTTGAGCTTCAAGTACGACAAGTAAAAGTTTTGGTGGGAAGCTCAAGAATCAGAAAAGCTGGGAAGTTCAACTCTTAGGAGGACGCTTAAAGCAGCTGGAAGCAGCTAGGAAGTTGAAATTTCATAAATCAAAAGGGCAACTGTAATCCAAGTTGAAAAAAACTATGGTGGCGTCAACCTCCGTGTGCTTAATTACCCGGGTTTTGATTGTAAACTGATCCCGACATACACCAGGCTAAACTCGACATCAGTTTGCATCTAAGCAACCTATAAAAGCAAAAGGCATCGGCTGCCTTGCCAAATGATGATTGTACTTAGCGCGTACTGCAGCTCAGCTGTTTTATAATACCACCGTCCCTCACACAATGCAAATACGGAGGATATTTTTTTCTTTTGACTTTGAAAATCTAATCGCAAAATCAGTGATTCTTTCAGTCAAATTGTAATTTAACACATAAAAAAGAGTAGACCATTTTTTTATTTCAGAAACTGCTAAAAGCACTGGCTTTGCCAATAAAAAGTTGTAAAAGTTACCAATCCTCACTAAACTCGTACTGGCTATAACACTGCAATTCACTTTCATTTTGCGACGGATTTTAGCAGAATCCGCATTTTTCATCGCTCATTTGAATTTGCCATGAGATTCGTTAGGGTTGTAAGGACTGTAAAAAATTTTACTAGTATTGTTTTATTCATTACATGCATGCTTCAAATGAGTGTTTTTTGTGGCAAATTTTGCATCTATTGTTGAATACATGTGCGATTTGTGTATGTGACTGTTTGCATGCAGGTATGTTTATCTGTATTTTTGAGCATATGCGTTTGTCTATAGGATATCGAGCTATCCACTAGCCTTTCGATGCTTTTGGCCCAGTAATTACTAATTACAAATTTTCGTCAAAAATATATCTTTAATTGCATTACTTGTTACTACAATGATGTGAAGATGAGAACACGAAGTTATACCATACTAATTATACTGGGTCCTAAAGAAGAAGTGGCGTTTTCTGGCAAGCTGATGGCCACTTCTGCTTGGTGATTATTTCGCTAACCTCCACGGTTTTGCTGCGACAGTGGTCCAGTTAGTTGCAATGTGCTGTCAACTACCGTGATTGCACCAGATGTTTTTGCGTGTTTATTACAGATAACTCTTCACAGTGACATTTTTTACCACCAGTTATTACAAAGTGCTCGGACAAAAAAATAGGGTGAGCTGGAGGTGCCCCAGTGTACCAAAGACACGACTTCATTATAACTTTTTTCATACTCCATCAATACCTCTATTTCTTTCGATGCAAATGGATATTTCAAAACAAAATCAAGAAGCTGCCAGTGAAATACTGTTTGGGGCTTTCCAATTTCAAAGAATCTGCTGCTGATGTTTTAAACATTAATCCCTGAAGTACCACCAGTATAACAAAGGTCAAAATAATGGATGTGCAGAATAGATCCAAACAAATTTCGTCGCTTTTAAATTTTTGGAATACTATTGAAGTGCAAGCTTTCACGTGTTATGGATCTCGTTGTGAATGTTCTGAAAGTCCTACCTGCGATAATTGTTTTATAGTGTAGTCCTATCACTGATGGCGTACCGCTTCCAATAAGATGGATCTGTTCAATTTTTCGTACTTTCTTCTCTCGCAAGTTATTTTTGGTTGTTGTTCAGTACGAGAAAATAGATGAAATTCTCTCGCGTTCTGCCTGGTTACGCTATCAGCTGTCTTAAAAACATGAATGTTAATTGCATTCTTGAATTTCTTGTAAGTGAGAATGAACCGAACTGTTATTGTTCTTTATCCATTTCGTGTTGGCAGGTTCGCATGTGTCAGAAACTGCACTGCATTAAAGATGGCTCCTAACAGAAAATAAAGCCTTTCTACAGTCACGAGCCAGAGACTGTAAAATGATAGTCACTTAGCGCAAATTTTAAAACATCGTCAATACCCTCAAAGTATCAAGTCGAAAGGATTGTGGAGACTTCTTAAATGCTACGATGTTGAGGATAGCGACGTTTGATGCAAAACGCGGTTACTGAAGGAATCAAACCCAGGTTGGAACGCACCAGACCAGCCGGTGCGATCATGCTTTTTTGCACTAAACTCGTAGGTCGCTAATAGCAGGAATGATCCCTGCGCCATAGTCTAACACTTTGGCTCGTACTGGTCGTGCTTTGGCCTCTTCCGGCATGCAGGAGAAAGGACGTCGGTTGGGATGAAATGTTGCATTATACGACCGCACGGACCTCCAGGTACACGATTACCAGTTCTTTGCATGAAGCCCGGTTATTTTTTCGGTAAATGCTCGCTTTTGAAAACATAAAAAATGCAAATTTTTTAAAAAAAATGCAAATTTTCAGTTCACTAGAAAGTGAGAATGTTGCTGGAGCGGTCGTTTGTCAAAAAATCCAAGTATGCAAATGAACTAATTTTCATGTACATGATAGGATGAGGGCGGTCCTTTGCTGCAAAATGCGCTCGTTTCTGGTTTTTCGGTAAAGTTGAGTATTTCTCATGCCCCTCTATAGGGAATTTCACCTCCAATTAGAATTAAAACCATACTTGAAAGTAGAATATCCCAGCGAAGCTTCAGCCCCGCATTTTATCCGGCAAGCGAAATATCCACTTCGCTACAAATATATTTGAAGTGTCCTAAATCACGGCGCAGGAGCATATCGGTATTCATTTTAGGTATACGGTTTCCCACGTGGGCGACAAGCATGTTGGCAAAATTTCAGTCACTGTTTTCTGGCAAGTTTTAGAGTTATCACAGTGCCGCTGCACAAAAACGCGCGACAACTGAATGTGATCGTACGCGAACTTTAAAGTGATTGTACGCGCTGCACAAAAACGCGCGACAACTGAATTTGAAACCTTTAGCTCACAGATGCACAGAGAATATCTCAGTAAAATTTCAGCCTTGTATCTTGCTCGGTTCGCGAAATCGTTTCCCGTCAAAGAAATACACGTGTTTTTTTCGGGGTTCAGTACGCGGGGTCTAGGTGCCGTACGTGATTAACACTCAGACTGAGGGGCTGAAATTGATAAATGTAAGCTGTA